GGGGGAAACCATTGGATTTCAAAAAAGTAGAATTGTTTAACAGGACCATTTTTGTAGAATATATATCCATCTCAAAATATTATAGATTGCATGGACTCAGAGTTGTGTTGTTTGATGTTTCAGGTGATGAATGAAAAGATAAGCTACTGTTTAGAAGTGTTGGAACTCGTCAAGGACCAGGAGAGTGACAATCGCCATATTCGCCTGGAGAGGATCATCATCTTCCTTATTGCATTTGAGGTGAGGTAACATTTCCAAATTGTAATCTTCCTTGGGCCAAACAAAATAACTTTCCAAAGGTGCTCTCAAAAACTGAGAGTTTGTTAGAACACCAAACTTTTTGTCTTTCCAAAGGTTTTCAGGGTCATGCAGTCTTTAGAGATAAAACAGTTCTCAGCCCAGATTGTAAAAAAGTACTTCTATAAGCCTTTGCTGTACTGTTGCTATACAGAGATCAGGTTTGCTGTACTGTTGCTATACAGAGATCAAGTTTACTGTTGATATATAGAGATCAGGTGTGCTGTACTGTTGATATATAGAGATCAGGTTTGCTGTACTGTTGATATATAGAGATCAAGTTTGCTCTACTGTTGATATATAGAGATCAGGTTTGCTGTACTGTTGATATATAAAGATCAGGTTTGCTCTACTGTTGATATATAGAGATCAGGTTTGCTGTACTATTGATATATAGAGATCAGGTTTGCTGTACTGTTGATATATAGGTATCAGGTTTGCTCTACTGTTGATATATAGAGATCAAGTGTGCTGTACTGTTGATATACAGAGATCAGGTTTGCTGTACTGTTGATATATAGTGATCAGGTGTGCTGTACTGTTGATATATAGTGATCAGGTGTGCTGTACTGTTGATATATAGAGATCAGGTTTGCTGTACCTTTGCTATACAGAGATCAGGTTTACTGTTGATATATAGAGATCAGGTTTGCTGTACTGTTGATATATAGTGATCAGGTTAGCTGTACTGTTGATATATAGAGATCAGGTGTGCTGTACTGTTGATATATAGAGATCAGGTTAGCTGTACTGTTGATATATAGAGATCAGGTTTGCTATACTGTTGAGATATAGAGATCAGGTTTGCTGTACTGCTGATATATAGAGATCAGGTTTACTGTTGATATATAGAGATCAGGTTTGCTGTACTGCTGATATATGGAGATCATGTTTGCTGTACTGTTGATATATATAGATCAGGTTTACTGTTGATATATTGAGATCAGGTTAGCTGTACTATTGATATACAGAGATCAGGTTTGCTGTACTGCTGATATATGGAGATCATGTTTGCTGTACTGTTGATATATATAGATCAGGTTTGCTGTACTGTTGATATATAGAGATCAGGTTTGCTGTACTGTTGATATATAGAGATCAGGTTTGCTGTAGTGTTGATATATAGAGATCAGGTCTGCTGAACTGTTGATATATAAAGATCAGGTTTGCTGTACTGTTGATATATAGAGAGCAGGTTTGCGGTACTGTTGATATATAGAGATCAGGTCTGATGTACTGTTGATATATAGAGATCAGGTCTGCTGAAATGTTGATATATAAAGATCAGGTTTGCTGTACTGTTGATATATAAAGATCAGGTCTGCTGTACTATTGATATATAAAGATCAGGTTTGCTGCACTGTTGATATATAGAGATCAGGTCTGCTGAAATGTTGATATATAAAGATCAGGTTTGCTGTACTGTTGATATATAAAGATCAGGTTTGCTGTACTGTTGATATATAAAGATCAGGTCTGCTGTACTATTGATATATAAAGATCAGGTTTGCTGTACTGTTGATATATAGAGATCAGGTCTGCTGTACTGTTGATATATAAAGATCAGGTCTGCTGTACTATTGATATATAGAGATCAGGTTTGCTGTACTGTTGATATATAGAGATCAGGTCTGCTGTACTATTGATATATAAAGATCAGGTTTGCTGTACTGTTGATATATAGAGATCAGGTCTGCTGTACTGTTGATATATAGAGATCAGGTCTGCTGTACTGTTGATATATAGTGATCTGGTGTGCTGTACTGTTGATATATAGAGATCAGGTCTGCTGTACTGTTGATATGTAGAGATCAGGTCTGCTGTATTGTTGATACATAGAGATCAGGTTTGCTGTACTGTTGATATATAGGGATCAGGTTAGCTGTACTGTTGATATATAGAGATCAGGTTTGCTGTACTGCTGATATATAGAGATCAGGTTTGCTGTACTGTTGAGATATAGAGATCAAGTTAGCTGTACTGTTGATATATAGAGATCAGGTTTGCTTTACTGTTGATATATAGAGATCAGGTTAGTTGTACTGTTGATATATAGTGATCAGGTTTGCTGTACTGTTGATATATAGAGATCAGGTCTGCTGTACTGTTGATATATAGAGATCAGGTCTGCTGTACTGTTGATATATAGAGATCAGGTTTGCTGTACTGTTGATATATAGAGATCAGGTTTGCTGTACTGTTGATATATAGAGATCAGGTTTGCTGTACTGTTGATATATAGAGATCAGGTCTGCTGTACTGTTGATATATAGAGATCAGGTTTGCTGTACTGTTGATATATAGAGATCAGGTTTGCTGTACTGTTGATATATAGAGATCAGGTTTGCTGTACTGTTGATATATAGAGATCAGGTCTGCTGTACTGTTGATATATAGAGATCAGGTCTGCTGTACTGTTGATATATAGAGATCAGGTCTGCTGTACTGTTGATATATAGAGATCAGGTCTGCTGTACTGTTGATATATAGAGATCAGGTCTGCTGTACTGTTGATATATAGAGATCAGGTCTGCTGTACTGTTGATATATAGAGATCAGGTCTGCTGTACTGTTGATATATAGAGATCAGGTCTGCTGTACTGTTGATATATAGAGATCAGGTCTGCTGTACTGTTGATATATAGAGATCAGGTCTGCTGTACTGTTGATATATAGAGATCAGGTCTGCTGTACTGTTGATATATAGAGATCAGGTCTGCTGTACTGTTGATATATAGAGATCAGGTCTGCTGTACTGTTGATATATAGTGATCAGGTGTGCTGTACTGTTGATATATAGAGATCAGGTTAGCTGTACTGTTGATATATAGAGATCAGGTTTGCTGTACACAGAGTTTAAATGTTGCATCATCAGGCTTATTTGCTTAATTGATTAAATGATAAAAAGTATTTAGATAACAAATTCTGAAACAAGAACAGCCTAAAGTGATGGTATTTGGCCAGGAGCATGCTCAGATGAAGAGCCATCAAGTTTTCTGAGAGAATGTCATTCACCTATATTCAAGGTCATAGGGATAAAATGTGGTGAAAACGTTTACCCAAAAGTCCTACAATGATGATATTTGACCAGTCACATGCTGGGAGGAAGAGCTTTCAACTTTGTTCGGATGAATGACCTTGTTCAACTTTCAAGATCACAGGGGTCAATTGTGTTCAAAATTTCACAGGTTCTTTTGAATGATTTAGAGTCATAGGTAATGAGTTTAGCCTGTAGCTTTATGTTAGTCCATTTAACATGTGTGAGAGTAATGCCTGATGAGTGATGCAGGCCTGTTTCTAAATAACCAAAAAGCCCAGTGTGATCATATATTTTGCCCAGTATATTGCTAAGAGGAAGGCTACCAGATTTGTGCAAATGAATGACCTTGCCAAATGCACTAAAAGAAAACAAAAATAAAAATTCTTCTGAATAATCCAAAGGCCTAGGGTGATGATATTTGGCCAGGAGCATGCTGGGATGAAGTGCTACGAAGTTTGTTAAAATGAATGACCTTGAGTGATAATATTTGGCCATTAACATGATAGAATAAAGGACTTCAAACAATAAAGGGCTACCAAGTTCGTTAAAATGAATGACCATGATCCACCTTTTAAGCCCCCCCACCCCCACCCCTTGGTAAAATGTGGAAAAAAATGTTTAATGCAATTTCTTCTTAATAACCAAAGGGCCAGGCTATTAAGTTGGCTCCACTGAATGGCCTTGTTCCGCTTTCAAGGTCTCAGGGGTCAAATGTGTCAAAATATTTTAGCATGTTCTTTTGAATGAGGATGAGGCATAGGTCATGATATGCTGGTGGAAGTTTAATTTTAATTCATTTTAAGATATTTTACTTTGGTACACTTTTATGTTACAAGTGTGAGATTAAAACCAGATGAACAATGCAGGCCCATTGGGCCTCTTGTATGTAATCGGACAGGGATATGTTGTTGCTATGGACTGTCTGTGGCCATAGAGATATTTTTTTGATGTACAAAGAGTTGGATCCGTGCAGAGAACCAACTGGGTATATTATAATTGCACATAAAATATAGAACTATTTCATTTAAAGTTTGAGAAAACATACCCTCAGATTGTTGAACTGATTTTGAGAATTGTGAATTTTCTTGAAGTTAAAAAGTTTGTGATCCTGAGATTTGCTTCTTATCTTAAAATAATACCTAGGAGCAACAGTTTAGGATAGCAAGAGTTAGAGGTAACACAACCAGTAGCCTAGTCAATTTGGGCTCCTGTGGTCAAAGTTTTTTCTTTTATCAAAATTTTCGGTCTCAAGTTCAAATTGATACATGTACAATGTAATGATAAGTTTAGTTAAATTTGATTTTTTTTTCTTTTCATTTCAGGTTGTTCTGGAGTTGAAGAAAGAATTTGAAAAATCAGAATAAATATTAGAAAATATTACACTATCAATGTTTTTATTACGCTATCTTCAAACATCACACCCTCATATAGTCGGACCATAATGACTATACATCATACCCTCATACAGTCTGACCACAACGACTATACATCATACCCTTATACAGTCTGACCACAATGACTATACATCTTACACTCATAAAGTCTGACCACAACGACTATACATCATACCCTCATACAGTCTGACCACAAGGACTATACATCATACCCTCATACAGTCTGACCACAACGACTATACATCATACCCTCATACAGCCTGACCACAACGACTATACATCATACCCTCATAAAGTCTGACCACAAGGACTATACATCATACCCTCATACAGTCTGACCACAAAGACTTGTCGTGTTATCCATATTGTTCACAGGCATGTCGATAATCAGATTGGGAGAAAAGGTGGAGCTACGTTACAGGCAGTTAAAAAAACCTGAGGAATATGTCATGAGCAAAACAGATAATTTATTGACCTAATGATTGTCATCGCTGAGAGTATTATATTTGTTTGTATTTCAACAACTTCCTCTATTAATTCATGTCATCTGTTTGTACATAAAACATGTTATCCAGGGTTCAGTCTCAGTCAACGTAAATAAGTTGTAAACACAATATTTTCCAAATTTCGGCTTTGTATATATGTACATTCTTGTATAAAAAAAATCATGTTTTTATTTCAAAATCACTTGCATATATGATGAACTATGACGCTATAAATTTTAAATGTCATTTTTAGCTCACCTGGCCCGGAGGGTCAAGTGAGCTTATGCAGTGGTGGTCGTCCGGCCCTCTGTCCGTCAGTGTCCATCCGGCGTCAATATTTTGCTTTAAACAACTTCTTCTGAATAACCAAGAGACCCAGGCTGATGATATTTGGCCAGTAGCATGCCGGGATGAAGGACTACCAAGTTTGTTCAAATGAATGACCTTGACCAACTTTCAAGGTCACAGGGGTCAAATGTCAAAAAATCTTCAAACGACTTTTTCTCAATAACCAAATGGCCCATAGTACCGATATTGGGCCTGTAGCATGTTGGGATGAAGGACTACCAAGTTTGTTCAAATGAATGACCTTGACCAACTTTCAAGGTCACAGGGGTCAAATGTCATAAAATCTTCAAACGACTTTTTCTCAATAACCAAAAGGTCCATAGTACCGATATTGGGCCTGTAGCATGCTGGGATGAAGGGATACCAAGTATGTTTAAACGAATGACCTTGACCAACTTTCAAGGTCACAGGGGTCAAATGTCATAAAATCTTCAAACATCTTCTCAAAAACCAAAAGGCCCAGAGTACTGAAATTGGCCCTGTAGCATGCTGGGATGAAGGGCTACTAAGTTTGTTCAAATGAAAGACCTTGACCCACTTTCAATGTCAAGGAGTCAAATATCGAAAAAAAATCAAACGACTTCTTCTATAAAACCAATAGGCCAGGGGTACTGATATTGGGCCTGTAGCATGCTGGAATGAAGGGCTACCAAGTTTGTTCAAATGAATGATCTTGACCCACTTTCAAGGTGACAGGGGTCAAATGTCTTTAAAATATTCAAACAACTTCTCATTAACCAAAATACACAGGGTACTGATATACGGCCTGGATCATGCTGGAATAATGGGCTTCCAAGTTTGTTCAAATGAATGACCTTGACCCACTTTCAAGGTAACAGGGGTCAAATGTCTTAAAATCTTCAAACAACTTCTCATTAACCAAAATACACAGGGTACTGATATTGGGCCTGTAGCATGCTGGGATGAAGGACTACCAAGTTTGTTCAAATGAATGACCTTGACCAACTTTCAACCTAATGTCCTTGTTCACCATTCAAGGTCACATGCGTCATATGTTTAAATCTTTTAATTGGTTCCTATGAATCAAACACTGATATTCTGCCTGTAGCTGTATTTTAGTCCACTTTTAAGATTACAAGTGTGAGATTAATACCAGGTGAGCGATGCCGGCCCATTGGGCCTCTTGTAAGAAGCTGAAAGAATTACTGACAACCAGTCTCTGTACGTGTACCATGTACTCAATACACCTGAACAGGACAGGAAAGATCAAGACCACAGGTCATTATGTCTGTCCTACTATACAGTCAAAGATTTACTTTACAGTCATAGACCTACTATACAGTCAAAGACCTATTTATACTGTCAACATCTACTACATAGTCAAAGACATACTATACAGTCAAATATCTAAAATACTTTCAAATATCTACTATACCATCAAAGATCTACTACAATGTCAAAGATATACTACACAGTCAAAGATTTACTACAATGCCAAAGGTTTACTTTACAGTCAAAGATATACTTTACAGTCAAAGACCTACTATACTGTCAAAGACCTCCTATAGAGTTTATGATCTTCTATACTTCACTTTCAAATGCCTTCTATACAGTCAAAGATTTACTATACAATCAAAGATCTACTATACTGTCAAAGATCTACTGCACAGTCAAAGACCTTCTGTACTGTGAAAGACCTACTATATTGTCAAAGTCCTACTGTACTGTCAAAGACCTACTATACTGTCAAAGATCTACTGTACTGTCGAAGACCTACTATATTGTCAAAGTCCTACTGTACTGTCAAAGATCTACTATACAGTCAAAGTCCTACTGAACTGTCAAAGACCTACTATACAGTCAAAGTCCTACTGAACTGTCAAAGACCTACTATACTGTCAAAGTCCTACTGTACAGTCAAAGACCTACTATACAGTCAAAGTCCTACTATACTGTCAAAGACCTACTATACAGTCAAAGTCCTACTGTACTGTCAAAGACCTACTATACAGTCAAAGTCCTACTGAACTGTCAAAGACCTACTATACTGTCAAAGACATACTATACTATCAAAGACCTACTACACAGTCAATGACCTACTATACAGTCAAAGTACTACTGAACTGTCAAAGACCTACCATACAGTCAAAGACCTACTACACAGTCAATGTCCTACTGTACTGTCAAAGACCTACTATACAGTCAAAGTCCTACTGAACTGTCAAAGACCTATTATACAGTCAAAGACGTAATACACAGTCAAAGACCTTCTGTACTTTGAAAGACCTATTCAACAGTCAAAGACCTACTATACTGTCAAAGACCTACTACACAGTCAAAGACCTACTGAACTGTCAAAGACCTACTATACAGTCAAAGACCTACTACACAGTCAAAGACCTACTGTACTGTCAAAGACCTACTCCACAGTCAAAGACCTACTATACTGTCAAAGACCTACTACACAGTCAATGACCTACTATACAGTCAAAGTACTACTGAACTGTCAAAGACCTACCATACAGTCAAAGACCTACTACACAGTCAATGTCCTACTGTACTGTCAAAGACCTACTATACAGTCAAAGTCCTACTGAACTGTCAAAGACCTATTATACAGTCAAAGACGTAATACACAGTCAAAGACCTTCTGTACTTTGAAAGACCTATTCAACAGTCAAAGACCTACTATACTGTCAAAGACCTACTACACAGTCAAAGACCTACTGTACTGTCAAAGACCTACTACACAGTCAATGACCTACTATACAGTCAAAGTACTACTGAACTGTCAAAGACCTACCATACAGTCAAAGACCTACTACACAGTCAAAGTCCTACTGTACTGTCAAAGACCTACTATACAGTGAAAGATATACTATACTGTCAAAGACCTACTACACAATCGAAGATCTACTATAAAGTCAAATATCTACTATGTAGTCAAAATCCTACTGTACTGTCAAAGACCTACTACACAGGCAAAAATCAACTATGCAGTCAAAAATCTACTACACAGTCAAATATCTTCTATACAGTCAAAGATCTGCTAAGCAGTCAAATATCTAAAACACTTTCAAATATCTACAAAACAATCAAAGATCTACGACAATGTCTAAGATCTACTCTAATGTCAAAGATATACTACACAGTCAAAGACCTTTATATACAGTCAAAAGACCTACTGTACTGTAAAAGAGCTATTACACAGTCAACGATTTACAATACAGTCAAATATCTGCTACACAGTCAAAAACCTACTATACTGTCAAAGATCTACTGCACAGTCAAAGACCTACTATACTGTCAAAGACCTACTATACAGTCAAAGACCTACTGTACAGTCAAAGACTTACTACACAGTCAAAGACCTACTATAANAGAAGCTGAAAGAATTACTGACAACCAGTCTCTGTACATGTACGATGTACTCAATACACCTGAACAGGACAGGAAAGATCAAGACCACAGGTCATTATGTCTGTCCTACTATACAGTCAAAGATTTACTTTACAGTCATAGACCTACTATACAGTCAAAGACCTATTTATACTGTCAACATCTACTACATAGTCAAAGACATACTATACAGTCANTTACACAGTCAAAGACCTTCTGTACTGTCAAAGACCTACTATACTGTCAAAGATGTACTATACAGTCAAAGACCTTCTGTACTGTCAAAGACCTACTATACAGTCAAAGACCTACTATATACTGTCAAAGACCTACTGTACTGTCAAAGATCTATTACACAGTCAAAGACCTACTATACTGTCAAAGACCTCCTATAGAGTTTATGATCTTCTATACTTCACTTTCAAATGCCTTCTATACAGTCAAAGATTTACTATACAATCAAAGATCTACTATACTGTCAAAGATCTACTGCACAGTCAAAGACCTTCTGTACTGTGAAAGACCTACTATATTGTCAAAGTCCTACTGTACTGTCAAAGACCTACTATACTGTCAAAGATCTACTGTACTGTCGAAGACCTACTATATTGTCAAAGTCCTACTGTACTGTCAAAGATCTACTATACAGTCAAAGTCCTACTGAACTGTCAAAGACCTACTATACTGTCAAAGTCCTACTGTACAGTCAAAGACCTACTATACAGTCAAAGTCCTACTATACTGTCAAAGACCTACTATACTGTCAAAGACCTACTGTACTGTCAAAGGCCTAC